AGGAAGGTTCCGGAGGTTCCGGGGTGGTCTGGCGCAGGCCAGGTGTAAGGTTCAAGGAAGGTTCCGGAGGTTCCGGGGTGGTTTGGTGCAGGCCAGCTGTAAGGTTCAAGGAAGGTTCCGGAGGTTCCGGGGTGGGGCGCAGGCCAGGTGTAAGGTTCAAGGAAGGTTCCGGAGGTTCCGGGGTGGTCTGGCGCAGGCCAGGTGTAAGGTTCAAGGAAGGTTCCGGAGGTTCCGGGGTGGTCTGGAGCGCCTAGCTGTTGGGGATACCACCTGAGCTTATTCTCTATGCTGAGCACTTCGACTGGAAGTCGCACGCGATCCGATCCAGCCTTCCTGCTAGCTGATTCAGCCAGACCTGATGTGTCCAAGTCTTTGTCACATTGCATTTGGCTTTGACTCCAAAACAAGCGAACCATTTGGTGTTCTCCCGTGTTGTGCCATTTGTGTTCCCTTTAATCCTAAAAAGGTTTCCCTCAAAAGTAAAAACAACATTCCTCCAGATTTCCTGCCTCACGGTTGCTCCGAACCTCAAGACAATGCCCAAACCACAAGGGTGAGACAAAAATGTAGAAGGGTCCTTTTGTTTTCCTTTCCAGAGTCAAACCACCTACAACTGTGACGATGGGGTCGCACGAAAGAACCCCTCGTTGTCCTGCATCCCTTAGTGTTCAGACACCTTTAAGACCATTTTAGTAGTTTAGTTGCAAGCAAAAATAATAGTTAATTTGTGTAAAGCAATTCACTCAGAAACTGAGCCTTCTTTTAACGCCATCTTCAAAGGGAACCAAGGGACTGCACGTGATCACTCGGTTTCGGGGCTCAAGCACTTTGGGAGCTCAGGTGACAGCCGCTTTGCTGGCCGCATATTCCTCCTGCGCATGGTTGGCCGGAACACCTGGTACGGTCACAGGAAGTTGACATGGCCATTGGAACACCCTCCAAGTGGTGGACATAAACCGCAGGTAAATGATGTCCGCCAAGTTCCCGATTAAAATCAAAAACCCACAGCCACTGTCAAAACCTGGAAGTTTCTTGTCCAGAAGCGGCGAAGTAAATCTTTGGAATGTTGGTAGAACCAAGATGGATGTTCAAAGGGGGGGACCCCGAGCAAGTGGTGGTTTCCTGTTGGTTTCTCTTTGAAAGCAATCCAACCTGTTGGAGATGCTTTTCCCAGTTTTGGAACGTATGACCAAGTGGCTTGAGCCGCAATCAAACCTGGGAAATAGAATCCTTGGACAGTTGCCTTGGCGATTGATTGGTTACATTTTGGGACTTGGGAGTTGATCATAAGGTCCTTGCATAAGGACTTATACTGTTGAGGACGATAGCACTGCAGGCGTTTGTGCCCGCGAAAGATCCGCAAAGGAGTCCTGCCGCTCGGAATGGTGCAAAGCAAAACGTTTGCTGGGCTATTTTGGAGCAAGTTTCGCGAAAGACCGGCGAAAGACCATGGAGCTTGTTGCAAGGTTCCGCACATTGGGCCCAGGACGGAGCAGTTACGGCAAGCGCAAGTGGAAAGGGCGAATGGTAGTGACTGCTTTCATTTCACGCTGCTGCAAGCCTGCCAGTGGAAGTGAACGGCGTGGTTACTGCAAGCACAACTGCAGCAGCAACAATGGCTCCAGAGCGCACGCGTGACGATGGAGTCGCGAAAGATTCGCGAAAGAGATGTTTTTCTCGCGAAGACTGGCGTTTCCCAGAAGCAGGAATTTCAACCGCCACTTCTTTGATGCCATGTTTTGGTTCAGACTTTACATGAGGTCGCCAACCCCCCCTGCAGCCCTGGCCCCAACCGAAACCTTACCCCTTTCCGTCCCTTCTGCAGGGGTATCTTGCCACCGGGGTTTTAACGCACCTCACCAGGAGCCCCCGATAGAGCGTCTTCTTCAAGGACCACTGAGGTTTGTAGTTTTTTGTAGATGGGGTTCAGTAGAGCCGGGTTCAAGCATGGAATCTTCTAGATGGCAAAGGGAGGGAAAACAAACACGTGCTAGTAATTAGCGACTAGCTCAGTGGCTCTCACTTGTCCAAAGCGCATCATTTTTGTTGACCTTGTGGTTTCCCATTACTCTATTAGTTAAAGGGCCCCCAAAGGAGATCACTTGTTATTCCTGGGCCGCTTAGTTGCAACAGCTGCTGCTGTGACTGAGGTTTGGTGGAATCACTTGCTGGGAGGCTCTAGGCGCGTGAGCCGGAAATGGCTGGCAGCTGCGAACGCGCTCCTTAAACGATACCACTTGGACATTTGTGTTGGACATTCAAAAAGCCTTTAATGTGATACCCCGGCTTCTTCTGAACAACTTGGCCATGTGAAACATAAAGCCTACCAGACCGAAAGGAAACCACTTTGGGCCTAACGTTCAGGTGGACAATATAAGAACCCCTGCTGGAGAAGCAATCTTTCTTCCGGGGAGGCAATTTGGGTTTGTGTCAGAAGGGGCATCCCTCTCTAAGTTCACCTTAATCCCTTGAAAGGGTACCATTAAAAGTTGACATCCACATGGCTTGCTGGAGGCTTTTGGAGACCCTGCCATGCTCAAAGCACAGACCTGGATGACGCATGGTAGAGGCAGGAGTTCCCTACGCCAGAAACCATGCAGTCTGGGGTGTTGCCTAGAGGCCTGTAGCGTGCTTGTTGGACTTGAGCATGTGCAAGTCCAAAGGAGTGATCTCCCCAAAGTTGTGTTTGGTAGTTTCTTCAACAAGGATCAAGAAGGCCTGCCTGGTTTTGACACATAGCCCTTGTCCAACAATCAATGTTTGGGGGTTTGGGGCCTTTTCAAGACAATTGATTTTGTCTTCCAAGACCATCCGATCGTCTTCCAATATTGGAAAGAGGGCCCATCCCACACGGAACCACGGAACAGCCCATGGAACACCTGTTTCCTCAAGCCTTCTGTCAGGTTTCAGTGGACAAATATTTTGAACATCTGTTTACATGATGTTTTCTTTGTTTCACGGCGGGCACAACCCTCAGAGCCTCAGAGTGAGAGAGAGAGAGGTCGGGAGACCGAGCCCCGAGCCATTCCACCTGAATCGACTCGTGACGAGACTTCGCAGGCGTTGGGCAGAGCTCAGCTCGCGGCTCACCAGTCAGTTGGCTGACCAGGCAGACGTCACAGCAGGAGCCTCTGTTGCGAGCCCCCATGATGGCAATGCCATTGGCCGGGGTAAAACGAACTCACCATGATGTAGGTCCTTTTCTTGGAGATCCAATTAGTGTGTTTGTTTTTCATTTTTTTTCCGACACATCGTTAAAATGTGCAGATTATGTTCAATCATTGTCCTTTTCAAGAATCAGCCGTTTCCTCCTGGGTTTGCGTTGGTTTTCTGGAAAGAAGGGATTTTTGGAAAGAATGGGCAAGTTAGTTACCCCTTAATGCTCTGCTGCTCTAAGGGTATGAAATCAAATTGATTGGACCCCCTTGGACACCCACATGGTTGGATTTATGTCCAGCCTTTTCGGAGAGGGTGTGCCTTTTTGGGGTCGGAACCTCCTTTTGGTTGGTGTCAATTGAACACGAAGAGGAAGCTGCTCACTTTTCAGCATATTCCAACAATTCACATTCATGTTGAAAGCCTTTTCCCTGAAGTGGGTGCTGTTTCATGATTGGCGTGTGTGGCAGTTTGCAATGCTGCGTTAAACCCAGTGGATCCTCGGCAAGCCACTGTAGGTAAGCCACTTTTCTTTTGGCTTCGCTGCAATGGTGGGAACCTGGGAAATGGGATCACGGGGAAAGGATGGTTTTGGTACCCCCCGCCCAGGTACCCGCACCCTCTCGTAAGACTCTTAGGCCCTCAGGGTATGAAATTTGGGAGAGCCATACCTGTGGAGCTGCCTTCTTTTTTCTCACAAGCCGTGCTCACAGCTCGCCACAAAATGGCTCCAGCCTTCAAATATGTTCCCATTGTCTACCCTAGGGGTTATGTCCCTCTATAGAGGTTATATATATATATCTTATATATATATATGTATTATCATTATATATGCCCCAAGTTTGCCCTTGGGTCCCGGTACCAGATTGAATTGAAGCAATCCTTTTGACGGATTTTCAGCTTCCGAATCCGTCCCAGGCAGGCATCGCCTACCTTACCCGGGACTGGGCAGAAATGGCGCGACGGTCCCATGCCGCCCTGGACCAGGCCGGCCCTTTACAAAATGGCTACTGGTGTGTGTGTGTGTGTGTGTTTGTTTGTGTGTGTTTGTGCCCTTTTCACCTTTTAAAAGAAAGGCAGGGGGCATGGTCAATATTTTTGGGGTCCAAGTTTGAACCCACTTCCCCTGCGTCACTCGACAAGATTTGTTGACTTGCGAGGGATTCCCCCCTCTGTGTCACTTGCAAGGACAGGGGCCAAAGTAGAAAAAGGGCCACTCCCGCTTCATACTTCGCTACATATATCCGCCCAAACTTTTTATCACTTCTTAGCCCTGTCTCACCGCTTCATACTTCGCTACATATATCCCTCCAAATTTTTATCATTTCTTATCCTTCGTCTCGTGTAATATTAAAATCATCACTCCTAACCAGTAAATGATACAATACATGAACATATATTGTATTAAATACTTCAGGTTCCCTTATGCTTCTTCATTATATGGCTCTGCCTTCTCTAATGCTTGGTGCCTTTTGCTTTTCTTGTGGTCGGACTTTGATTTTTTGAATAAAGAAACTCTACAAACATCGCACCACCATTTATTTTTATCTTCAATGACTTCGCCTGGTTCTAAACTTAAATAATACTGATGCTTGTATGTTGATACATGGTCATCCCATCCGCTTTTAACTATTTCTGTTCTACAAGCTTCGCACCATACTTTCTCTTTCTTCTTTGCGAGTTTATCTTCCTTTTTCCTGTCATAGTATCTCTTACATTTTGCATTCATTTTCTCGGGGTTGTTTTTCTGGTATTCTGCGCACTTAACCAAGCAAGACTTACATAACTTTTTCCCTTCATCAAATTCATCAACCGCCTTTTCCTTTTTACATCTGCCACATCTTTTAATTCCTTCCATACTTATTATTATATTGTCATGTCTTTAAATGCCTTCCATCCTTCACATCAAAAATTAGGCGTGGTGCTCCTTAAAGACTTTTTCCCCAAATGGTCTAGCGACGCACAGTGCCTAGCCCATAGAGAAGACATAACCCCGCTTTTACACTTATTGCATATAAAATACTCCTTACCATTTTCAAAATATGTTCTGTCTGGCTTTTCTTCATTTTCAAATTCTTCTGGATGTTCCTTTCTTCTTAATCTGTCTTGATGGTATAATGTTTGTTCGTGTCCTTTCTTCTTGCACAGTCTCAATTCATATTCACAGACTTCGCAATAATAATTTCTTAGTTTGTATTTTATAGTAGGTTCTTTTACTTCCTTCACTCTTTCAATTCCAGCCCTTTTACATCTGTGATATTCCCTTTTATCTTCAATACATTCATTACATAATTTTCTAAGTTCAGTGAATTCATCCAAATTCTTTGACTTATTACATCTTGAACAATGTTTCAATACACTTTCCTCCATATACATATAATGCCTACAATCCTTTAAGGTAGTTTTGTGCCCTTCGTTTCATCAGTTTTATCATACAATTTTAATAGGCGTGGTGTCCCTTGTAGGATTTAATCTTCATTATATAAAACGCTATACTTACATTATAATTATAACATATAAGGGTATAAATGTTATTATTATAGTATGGTTATAATTTAAGTTCAGGATAATAAGTTAATTGATGATTATTAAATTGTGTATATATCTTACGTTTGGCATGCATCAGTTCAAAAATAATATTAATAGTTCTCACGGTATTTTTCACATTAAACTTATTGCTTTCAATATATGATTTAATGTCTTCTTTTAAATCACACCCTTCTCTTCTACGATGTAACAACATCCATAAAATGTGGTCAATCAGTTCATACCTTTTCTTACTGATTTTGAGAAATGCTCTAACATAACTATAAGGTGGTCTTCCATACACAGTTAAAAATATCAAAATTTCATATTCAACATTTCTATTACTTCTTCTTTCCAGATTTAAATGATATCTGATTAATTCTTGATTAGTTCTCCATTCCTGACAAATTTTACATTCATCTTCTTCACTCAAAGCATAATCGATAATATGATTAACTATTCCATTAGGTAAATTTAATTTGTATAATTCCATATTTTCTTTTTTGAAGTGGCAACAGTCGTAGCATTTCTTATTGATATAATTGTTGATTTCGGTTTCCATCATTTCTATTATAATATATATAGTTTTTATTTATTTAAATACTTTTTTCCAAGAAATAAATTTATACCTTTAATAACTCATGTCTCAAAAAAGCCCTGTCATAATTTTCAATATAATAATATTCTTGTCCTAACTTCTTTTCAATCTTTGCTATTTTGTAGGTTTGTTTAGTCCATACACCAACTCTCTCCTTTTCATTCGGTCTCCTTTTTCTGAATATCTTAACCTCATTTCCTACACTTAAATCTGGATAAACTCTATTTCTTTTGGCTTTCATACCTAAGTTTAAACTCACTTCTAATTGATGTTTAGGCTTTCTTGCTTCTGACGGAGTTAAGCCGTGTGAAGTGTGCTTTATTCCATTGTTGTAAGTTAATACAATCTCGTGTATGTAGTCTGTCCATTGAATAGCCTTTCCTTTCTTTTCATCGTTTTCAACCCTCTTATACAAGCTATCTTTAAACGTCCTTATCGCCCTCTCCGCGAATGCTGGGTGACCTCTGGTTCTGTGCAACTCTATTTTTTCATCCTTCAAAAAATCTATAACACTTTGATTATTATAAGCTCCTTCATCGTCAATATAAATTAGTTTGGGCTTTCCATCCATTTTTTTAATACATTCCATCAGTCCTGCTAAAATGTCCGCTGGCTGTTTTGACATAAGCGGGACAACAACCATATACTTAGAAAATATGTCAATACACATCATACCAACTTTCATTTTTTGTTTAGGGATATCATTAATAACAAATAAATCAATTTGAAACTCATAATATGCGTTAGGAGCTACAAATGAATTCTGTCCTCTTGGCTTGGCTTTCTGTTCTACGTTCTTCCTAAAAAACTCATTGATATCATTAATAGTAATTGATTTATCTTTTTGTCTTGCTTCTTGTAAAGTGCGATTCTTTGACCCGAAGCCTCCCTTATCATAATAACATTATTAATAATATCTTGCTTAGATGCCATATAAAATAAGATAGATATTATTTTTCCCGGCGATTACAGTTTAAACAGTAAGATATACAGTTTTCCTTATGATGGGCATAATCGTTGTTTATTCTTTGGGCTGTCATATTGCTATGAATTAGCCCATTGTTTATTTCTATTTCAAAGTCAGTTCCGCATTTATTACATCTTGTTCCAATTCTGTTAAGCAACCATTCAACATCTATATATTTATTTTCATTTATCTCCCTTTGAGACTTCATGTCTTGTAATTTATATTGTTTAATCTTATGTTCTAAATATCTGGTTAATTGTGCTTCAGTTAAATCAGTATCATCTGTTTCTGCTTTGAAAAACTTGACTTTATTGATATCTCTTGCTCTTGTAATCGCAGTATAAATCCACTCACGGCTGACCAAATGTGATTTATCCCATTCGTGTATAGTAATGCTTTTATCTACAGAAGCCCCTTGAGACGAATGACAAGTAGCACAATACGCAGGTATAAAGTGCTTGTCTAAAGTTGTGGTGTTTGTCAGGAATATAGTTTTACTTTTGATATCTTGGATTTCTACTTTCCAATCATCAATGCTAATAATTTCATAAGTAATATTTACATTAAACACCTGCCCCATTTCTTTTTTATAAACTCTGCATATCACATGCTCTCCGATTTCATATTTATCTGTCTTTCCTAAATTATTCCTAACTGTTTTACTTACCCATTTGCATCTGGCATTTGTATAGGCAATGTTATGTTCTCCTTCCATGATGTCGCTTGTAGTTTCAAAATGTTTCTTTACTATTTCCTTAAAGGGCAGTTTACTTTTCCAAATGTCATTATATATATCATTCAATTTAATTTTATCTTCTTCTGTCTTGAGTCTCTTAGATATCTTAAGATAAATCTTATATTTAAATATTTGATTAAGACAGTTGTTTAAATATGTCTCGTGGTCTTGGGTGTTAGTTAAATCAGCTATAGGTTTCAACTGCTTCCCGTCAGCAGTTCCTATAATTATCTTCTCTGGGCACGTATCCTTAAGCTCCCTAACTCTGTTCAAAATATAATTACCCGCCATGCCTAGCTCGTCAAACACAATACACTTATAATCAGAATGGTCAAATGTCGGTAGTCTTTCTCCAGCTTCTATTGGGATACTAAAAAACTTGTTTAATGTTATGGCGTCGGCTTCGGTTTCTTGCTTCTGCTTGTTATTAGGACATACGAATAACACATTATAACCTAAATTTTTCATATATTCGCCTATATAACTCTTGCCGCTTCCAGCCAGTTTTGCTTTTATCAAAACCGGATTACACGACACAATTTGCTCACAAATGCTTTTGGTGTCGTATTCGTCTTTAACACGAATTTTTACATTATTGTAAGTCGGAATTTCTGATAACTCATTAGCCTTAATTTTGTATATATCGCTCGGTGGTGATACTTGTTTATTATCTTCAGCTCTCCATCCTCCCCTTTTGGTTGAAAACTTAATCAATGTTTTAGCCTTGACAATATTTTTCTTATCAATAATGAAGGCATCAGTTTTAACACTATGCACCTTGATATTGTTGTCTTTCAATGTTTTATAATCTTTATGCATTTTAAAATTATGTCGTTGCATGAGTAGCTCTTTAATATACCTAAAGCCATTGGTTAAGTCTTGTTTATGTGTCGTTGTCAATGTGTAATATTTGACTTCTGTTTCTTTCTCAACGTTTTTGATATCGTATTTTTTACCATCTATAATTTTATAACATTCACGACAATGATTGTGATAATACATATTATTTTTCCAAAATTTATATGTACCGTCATCAGAATTCCGGTACCTATCATCATCATTATCATGAGCCTTAAATTCTAAATCCCATCCCTCGCCTCTTTCCTGTTCTAATTCTTTAATATATTCATCTGTCATCTCTGTCAAAACCTTATCATCAT